TTTTATGTTATGTTATTTCAGTGTGTTAGGGTTTTAAAAATTTCCCCATTGCATGATGAAAAACCACAAAATATGTTGTTTTCTTAAAAGGTTCCCCTTTCCCGGGCTTGTACCACGCACCCATAGTTTAAGAAACTAAGAGGCTTTTAAAATACATCAAATAAAAGAAAAATATATGGGGCCCTTTAATAAACTTTTTTTTTAATATTCCCCCATAGAATGTAAAATTTTCTTTATTAGGAAATAAGCTTATAACATCCAAGATTTTCAAATAGTGACACTTATAACGCAAGGTGATATTTCGATAAATAAATATTGGCCCTCAAAACCATTCTTTTTAACTGCATTTCTCTTTATAAAGGTTATATCTCCAAAAACATCCTATATATTACTTTCCGTATAAAATATTACTCCCTAAGTTCGCAAATTCACCTTGATAAGTGTGCTTACTATTGGATATAATATAACTTTCTTTTAATTTAAGACAAAAAAATTACTCTACCTCCATAAAAAAAGACCTTTTTTTATATCCCCTCAAACAAACTAAAGTTCCTAACAATATAACACACAGCTCTATATCTAACGAACTTTTAGTATCAAATCATTTTACCCTAACTAAAAACATTTAACATTTATCCTAACTTTCCGGTAACAAATATGCTCTCTAAAAAAGAATATAATATGTCGCTTTAAAAAGACAGATTTAGAATGCAATACTTTATACAGAAACTACGTTTTCTAACGACTATACTCAGAAGCGACCATAACTCTATTTATCATTTCACTTTTGCTCTAAAAGGTTTTCGACCTAACTATACTCATTTCCCTAGCAAAGGAAAATAATAGGCACGATAGATAAGATAAAACTCACAGCCAATGAATGCTGTTAGTATGCAAACGGTAAACATGGATGTAATCTGGGAGAACAGTTTGACAACGTGTTTGCCTCCGGTCATTCTCTGCCATACAGCTGCATTAAATCATGGGAAAAAGACACACACGTTCCCTTTCTAGTATTAATATATACAGAATATGAAATATTAATAGATAGAACACATACAAAAATTAGGTTAGTTTATTTGAGAATTTTTGATTTTTATGACAAATTGATGATCCTCATATACTCAAATTACAATTTTAAATACTAAAATATTTAAAATAGAAATTGAAAATAAAACTAATTTTACTTTCGATGACATGTTGCAAAATATTTGTTTTTGATATATAAGAAGAAATCGTTTCTAAATATTTAATCCCAGTTGACACTGAAATTAATCATAATGCTTCAAATTCATATGATGTCATAATCACATGATAATGACCAACACACACACACATGTGTCTCTAACAAATTATTTCATAATTTCTTGTCATAATTATACGATAAATGCAATCATGTGTCTCCAGCTAATCAGTTTATGCGCTTCGTTGGTGCCAACCTTCCATCTTTGCAGAAACTTTCATTTAAAAAGCACGTATATGTCGACAATGATAACATGCATGAGTAAGCAAAATATATTTAATTTAAAAATACACGAACAAAATCATTTTTTTTTTATATTTTAAGATCTCATTGATAATTTTTTAAACGTAATTTAAGCGTTTTTACCCACACAATTATGAAATTCGAAATTTTATCCAAATTTTGCATATAGAAAAAAGTACAAGTTAGTTTAATGACAGCTTTAAAGTAAGTCGAGAACATGTGATTGCCTTTATCAAGTTATTGCCTTGAATTGCGCCAATTCAGCATAAAGAGATAATGATAAAAATTTTACACTTCAGAAGACTCATATTTTTAATTTAACTTCAATATAACAATAACAAAGAAATGTAGTATATTTAATATTTGAATCATTACATAACATTTTTAATACGCCTTTATAAGCTACACTTGCGTGTAATGGAATTTTTTAACTCGATTTTCATCCAAATTAAAAGTTAGATTAATTCAAAATTTTGCTCACTTGTCAAGGATCGTTGTCAATGCAAACATTTAAACATTTTGCTCGATTGTCCTGATCAGGGTTAAAAATTTCCCATTTATAGATTTGGCGACTAATTCCACATCCCATTTCCAGATTTAGTAATTAACTCTAGATTTGACGACTAAAAGATTGTTACAAATGATAAGTTCTCATGGTTAATACTACAACAAACAAAAATCAATCTACAAACTTTTTAAACTATCATTTATTCGTATTTTAAATCAAATTTGACATTTTAGTACCTTTTATTCAATGTATCGCACGTAAATGATAACGGTGATTGCAAAAATTTTGCATTTGTTATTTTAAAATCTATACATTGTACTTATACAATGCATCTTACATCAGCATTTCTTAAACTGTTCGGCGGGAGCCGGAGGGGGGTCTTGATAACCCTACATGGAGAGCACACATGGGCTTATTGAAAATTCGAACATAAACAAATTATTTAAAAAATTATTAAGGGGAAAAATATGCATTCTGACATAATAAAAATAAAATACACTTACGCTAATAAAATATATACTATTTATAAGAGTATCTCCCTCAGTACTACTCAATGAATTTGATAACTAATTTATCAATATTAACAACATATACTTATCCTATTAACTACTATACTGTTATAGCCCTTATGCTAATACTTAAAAATAAGCTATTTACAATATATCTATTACTTAAAAGTATTTAATATACTTATCTTAATAATTAAAAAAATGTCGTATTGTAGCTTTAGCATTTAAGTACATTATTATAGCATTCAATACATTGTTATTTTATGTGAGTGTGCAATAAAATCGAATATAAATAGCTATATAAATAAAAACTTATGTAGCATAAAAGGAGATTTTATTTTATTTATCAAACGGAAATAAATATTTATCGTAAGCCATCAAATAAAAATATTTATTTAAATTAACAAATACCAATATATCAATATAAAACTATATATTTTATTCAAAGAAATAAACAATATGGGTGCCACTAAAGCTTAAGCATATTGCTCATAAGATTTCTTTCTTGAATTATAGTAATATATGAAAATAAATATATTGTGTGCCATTTATGAAAATAAATATTATAGTTTATGGTGTACGGTTCACCTCTTTAAACGCATTTTGTTGACTTTTTGTTTTATTTGAGTAATGCACTTGATGGAATTGCTGACAATAAAGATAAAAATCAAGGAAATGATTCAGCAGTTTCAGTATAGAAAATATCCACAAAAAAATAATCCAATGACATAAAAAATATGAGGATTTTTCTGACATTTTTCAAACGTTTGCAATAGTAGAACTTAAAAGCTTACATCACAATTTATTATTCTAGGAACAAATCTCCTCTGGATTTCTACTGAAAAAAATGAGACAAATGATAATGTGTTTTTACTTTGTTTTGATATTTTTTTTACAAACGAAAAGATTATGCAAATCGTATTCATGGTAAAGATGCACACTATAATTTGTTATTCTCAACAAAAGAAACATAAATGGAAAGGATTTTCTTCTAAAAAAGATAAATTTACGAAGCACGAGTTAAGCTTCAAAAAAATTCGTTAAATTTATAAAAAGTATGATAAATTAAGTCATAAAATCTTGAAAAAACTTTACATGTTTGCGCTTTTTTGGCTATTTTATTTCTTCAATTTGTTTTCATTAAATATCAGCAAAATATTCAAGTAAGTAATTGCTGTTTATTTGTCATTTTTATAGCTCTGTTTTTATTAGTATTGATTATGATTGTACTTTATTGTTCGGAAATTTTTCTCCTTGCCTGTAACCCTTTGATTTTAAATTCAAAAACACTTCGAAAAGTTCACCTAAAGTATTTCTTAATTTTTTTTAAAAATTTCAGATATTTCTTTAATTTATATAGTACACTGCTTTATTCGTACAGTTTACGGCATGGTCTCACTCTTTAGGTTAGTTTTCCTTCAAGTTTGGAGTTTTATTCCGGGTTTAAATATGTCTGATATGCATTATTATTTTTTTTAATTCCTACTATTAGCTTACACTTATTTATTTATTTATTTATCTTCGTGGAGTCTTCAATCGTTAATAAAATATATTTTAAAGTGCTCAATTGAGCTGAAATTTTATATACATGATTATTTTGGATGACAAACAAAAATGAAAAGGTTTTTTTTCTCACATTTTAATTTTTTACACGCTATGTTTTGGGTAAAAGTACGATAATTTAATTATAATTAATTAAAATTAATTGACTGAAACTGATTATTTAAAGAATTACAGATACAGCTGGTTAATACTACTGGTTTCATTTTTAGCGACTTGGGTCAAAACTTTAAAACATTTTTTTTCTCAAGTTTTAAAGCATTCAGTTGAATTGAAATTTTATATCCACGTTTGTTTTTTATGACAATACGATACTTTAATGATACAGTAATAAAATACTTAATAGTACTCTAATTTCAAAAAAATAATTCATGTTTTTTGGCTTCAAAATAATTTTAATGGAACAATATGAATAAAATTGAATTTTCCAGAAAATTTCAAAATTGATGCTCCAATAATGGAACATTGGCGTGTAAAAAGTTAAGCACTATAATAATAATGGACTTGAACTAAATATATATATATATATCTTATGATAAGCTAAAATAAGTACTTGAAGATTTCTGCATTGATATAGAAATATTTTGAGCTTAAAAACCAACATATATATCAACACAAATGATTAGTTACAGCAGGGCGGCAACCTCTGGCATACGTGTCACATGTGGCACGAGGTACATTTTTCAGTGGCACTCTGCTGTACTCTAAAAATTTGTTAATTTTTGAGTGGATGGAAGTTGATGAATTTGTACGGCACATATTATTTCACAAATATCTTCATAATTATGAACATTTACGGAAGTGCGAAAAAATCTGAAAGATAAATTTACAGCTATTTTGTAAATTATTGAATGTCCCTGATGGGGAGATTTAATGGTTTGAAGATTGCATATGTACTCTGCTTTCCGATTTTGGCTGTACATATACAAGTATGCCAACGGCCATACCATGCTGAAAACACCGGTTCTCGTGCGATCACCGAAGTTAAGCATAGTTGGGCGCGGTCAGTATTTGAGAGGTTGACCACCTGGGAACACCGAGAGCCATTTACATTCTCTTTTGCGATAAATGAGTACCAAGCTTTCTTGGGGACTTAAACACTGGAAGTCTCACTTCAGACTGACCACCTGATCCGGACATCTGCTCATGCACCTCAGTGCCTAATGGTCACGTATACTGGGATGGCACGGTAGGCTCTGTCCCTCATGGGCTGATGCGCCACTGAGTTTGAGTTTGTATATACAAGTATAAATTCATTTTTCATATGAAAAAATATTTTGAGTCCACAAAGGAATTGTTTAATTGCTGAGAACCGTGTCAAATTGAAATTCACACATCATATCACAGATTTTGCGATATAAAAATAGAGTGGTGCAAGAGGTTTGCATTTAAATATTTATTTATCTTTTTGTTTAACTGTAACGAAGAGAAATACTTATATTTTATGTTGTATATTCCTTATTTTAATAAACTTGTTTAAAAATACATAATATATGTACAATTAAAATTTTTCTCAAGTGTTTGTTGATAGAATAAATATATTTATGCTACTTATTCTTGTAAAAATAAATATTTTAAATAATACAAAATTAATATATAATGAAACTGTAAATATCTATATTAACTCAGTGGCGCAACAGCCCATGAGGGCCAAGGCGTATTGTGCGTAACTCAGTATACATGACCTTGGGCCCTGAGGTACATAGGCAGATGTTCCGACCAGGTAGTCAATCTGAAGCGAAACCCCCAGAGTTAAGTTCCCAAGGAAAGTTCGGTACTCATTTATCAACCCATTGAAGAGATGGAAGGCTGAATCAACCTTACTCATCCCGGGGTTTGTACCTCGGACATGTGGTATGGAAGGGAAATATCTATATTATTCACCTCTTATTCTCTAACTCTACATGCATTATCGCAGGGATTGAATTGTTTCAAAAATGATCTACTGTACTGCAGTTTAATCATATTGGTTGCCACAGTTAAAAGGTTGCCGACCCCTTCGCTGCAGCATAAATTACAGGTTCTCATATTGTTTCCTAAGGACCCAGAGGAGGTTGGGTCCCTTGGACTTATGAGAGCGTCTATGGAAAATTAAAATTAATTTGGGCCTTCGGTGACAACGTTAGAAGGATGACGAAAGGTTTAATATAAATTAGAATATTAGAAACCCATTTCAATTTTTATGCAAAAAAGTAATTATTTTTTATGAGTTAAAAAAATTGTGTAACATTTTAAACATGAGAATAAAGCGGTTTTTTATATAAATGTATAAAATACATCTATTGAGTAGTCTCGTATGATGGAATTAGAGTTAATTGTAGGTGATGCTCTCTATGCAGGTTTATGTACGAGCGTAATCTCACCGCTGCATGCAATAAAATGTATAAAATATAGCAGAGTGAAAAAAAAATCTTGCACCTTATGAATAGCTTAGTTTTGTTGTGTGCTAGATCCCGAAATGTGAAATAAATGCAAAAAAGTTTTATTAGTTTTGAACTTATGACAGATCTATTCGCGATCCTCCCACCAATCCTCTTGGGAAATCATTGGGCTATCAATTCGCGTTATTCACAACCAACCCTTCGGAAGAAGAAAATCATGATATGCAAATTAAGTTACTATATATAGTCGAAATTTTCTAGCTAGAATAGAGGGTAGGAGAGGAGATAAACAAGAAATCAGGAGAGATTGTTACTGACACGTATCATTATTGAAGAATTGTGAATAAATACTTATTAGGAGGAAGATTTAAGGTGATAATTGATCACTGAGATTAAATTGATATTAGATTAAATTGGATAATAGATTAGATCCTATATAAAGTAAGGATCGAGTTTGATATTCTCCTAATATTTCGTGTGTTTTCGTCGTTGTTCCACTTTCTCCGGATAGCACCGAGATATCTTACTGTTATTAATTGAATTTGTGTCGTTATATTATGAGATCAATAAACAGATTGATTTGATCATGGTGAGTGTTTTTTCCCTAACTCCTAAATATCTAGGTTTTCAAGAAAGAGGCGAAAATTTCTCACAAACTGAAAGTAGTATGATTCTTTGTATTGTTATGATGATAGATATATCATTGGATTACCACTTACATTGAAAAAAAACATTTCTACAGTTTAATGCATAAGTTATAATTTGATATATATACTACTTCAGATATAACAATATTTCATATATATTTTCAGCATTAATTCAAGATTTATCATTTAGGATATCAAAGTTAAATTTGAAATTGTTTTATCATGCATTAATATAGAAATATTCGACTTAGAGTTTCGGTTCTTTTTTGGCTAAAAAGGGTCCATGATTACAATAAATTTAAGTACACACTGTACATGTATCGATAAGGTATTATTAGTTTGTGAATATGATATTAAAAACTTAATTTTTTCTAAATATATATACTTCATGATTTTCTAAATTTGTCTCTTGTACATTCTATTAGGTTGGAATATCATTCTTTTTTAAAAACGGAAGTTAAAAACTTTTTTTTACTATGCCCTGAAAAGTACGTTATATATCTACCGTATCCTACTAAAGTACACTCATAGATAATTTTAAATTTTATTCTTTTTCCAGCACCCGATGAAAGCCACTTTTGCATAATATTATCCTGTACTCTATCTTCATATGCTCATGAATTTTGGGGAATATTCCTCATTTGGGAGACCATTATGTTTTTTCATTACTGTTCGTGTATCACTAAATTGTCTTTTTAGAAGGCGTTTTTATATCATAGCCTCAGTGGCGTAACGACCCCCATATCATAACATTGCGGGGAACTCATGATTCTAAGACCAAAGGTTATAGTTTGGCTGTTATTTGTAAGATCCTTCCTGGGGCCCCAAACTAGTTTTTTTGCAGGGGAGTCCAAATATTGTCCGTTCGGCCAATGCATTACCCTTAGGGTGAGCGTGGTTCTCTAGAGTGGTAACTCAATTGCCCAATAAGAACTCACAATTCGAATGAATGCCTTTGTTCCTGAATGAGTCAACAGAGAGCTTAGATATTGTTTAAGGTTTACTTTTTATTTGAAGAATAGATAAAATTATTAGATATATGGGGAGCCTCTTTTTCAGTTATAAGATTCACAACATTTCCGATGTAAAATAAATGTTTAACCCTTTATCTGCGGATGGTACTTTAAAACACCCAATTTAAAATTACATAGAATGACTATTTTTCCGACTTAGCTGGAATATTGTTTAACTCCGCTCTTCCAAGATATATGGCAGCACGGGTTCTATGAGGAATATTTTAGCGGGGAAGGCGAACAGTTTTATAGCTGAAATTGCGTTTTTAGCGGATTGCGAAGATTCTTATTTTTCCCTAGAAATAGTTGATGTTAATAGTTATAGTTTTAGTTAATGGTTTTAGTTAATAGTTAGTTTTTTTTTTTTTTTTAGTTCAAACGTTAGAAAATGATTTTACTTATTTTGTGAACAGCGTATTTAATTAACTTTACAGTTGAATACCTTTAATTAATTACTTATCTCTAACGGATAAAATTTTCCAAAGTTGAGTATCTTGTTAAAATATATCCCTTAATTTTCAATGTAGTGATTCAAAAAAAAATATTGCATGATAAAAATTGCAGTAAATCATAATGCGGTAGATAAAGGGGTAAATAAATTGAATATGCATTACAGAAAGATAAACTTCGTTGCACTAACCGTAAGTGTATCATTTAAGGTGGTAACAAAAGCATTTGGAGAAAAATAAAGATGCAGCTCATGTTGTATTGAAAGCCAATTGAAAATGACGGTAGTTCAAACCCATTAATAATACATAGCGTCATTAATCAACAGTCTGGGCGGAAATGATTGGATAGGTCAAAAGCTTCAAATCTAGTCAAATGTCAACTGCTAGTTATATCAGATCACATATACTCAATCATCGTCAATACCACGTGTTTATTGAAGAGATTGGGAGAGAAAATGATTAACCATATGATATTGCACAATAAGGCAAAAAGAAACATTTAATGCGTTGGTTAGAGCTCCGAATAATGCAATGAAATTTTCTTAAATGAAAGGAAACCTCCTCTGACAAATGAAAGAATAGTTATGAAAGTTATCATTTGTGTAGTTATAACTAAACATATGTAATTAATTTAAAATAAAAAAGTAGAAATCTAGCTTTTGACTGGCATACACTCATATTGGATCTTCACAACAAAAACTGTTTTGTTTGAACTACAAAGGTGCCAAAAATATGTTTCCTGTTTTCATACATGTCGAGCATCTAGATAGGAAATTGAGCATCAATTTTAAGTATAGACTTTATAGTTGAAGCTTTGTGTACTATAAGTTTTCGGTTTTATTTTTTAGGCTCTAATGTATTTGCAAATGATGCAAAGTTGTTTCAAAATCCTTTTAACGCCGACATAAAACGTTTTACTCCAGAATATCAAATGGAATTGATTAACTGAAAGTGCAGCAATGTACTTCAGTAAAAAAAAAAAAAAAAATTAAACTCTTTATTGCTGGAATTTCTTAAGAATATGTAATGCACAAAGTTTGATCAGTCGCATAAACATATTAGTGACATTTTCTCAGGACTTTCAGAATTATTAATATGGGGAAAAACATATTTTCAAAAATGAAGTTAAAAAATACTTATAGATACAGTTTAACCTTACAATGGTATCAAAATGAATTTTAGCGAGCCTATTTGATAGTATTTACAAACCATTCTTGATCTTCGAACCATACTTTGGAGACTGTTGATCGAAATTCATATATTTCTACAAAAATTTCTCATTCTTTCAAAAACTGTAATGCAAAATCCGGTAAGAAACGTGCACCTATACTTTCAAGTTTCATTTTTTTAAAGTGTTTATATATATCCGTGGTATAACACGTGCCCCTTTTTTTATGAAGAAACCTGAAATATATACGTGGGCAGCGCCCTTATGTTTTGAAATCATTTAATCAAGATATTACTCCAAACTTTTTTATATAAAAAAATAGTGTTCTTCTAAAGCTACAACCCTCTAAGTTCATAAGAAATGACATTTCTTTAAAAAAAAAAAAA